ATATATAGTCCGGTAGACTCGGTTCGGGACCAGTATTCATGAGCGTTTGTTTACATTTGAGCTGGTGAGTTTGCATTCACACTGCACTGTGCAGTCGAGTCAACCTGTTGAACCAACCTATTCCCCCGCTCGCCTGAGGGGGCGCTGCACCAAGAACTACTGAAAGAAACGACACAAAAACCTCTGAAGACACGTCTTCTTCTTCTTCTGTAAATAAAAATAAAAACTAAGTGGCATCAAGTTTTAGGAGTTATATTTTGTCATTTTTCAAAAATGGACTTAGCATGAGCAGAAGATGAGACAGAAGACCATGGAGAATATTGTTTTTCCACACAAGGCAGCAGACGGCTCCATATAAGGTCAGAGAAATGCGTGTTTGTTTACCATGCGGAGCGGCCCGGTCTGTTTACATTCACACTGCACTCGAACCGCGCTGGAGTTCTCATCTACCGGACCGAGACCTAGGTTTTAGCCCGGGCCAGAGTTCGCCTTTTTGTTCCGTGACAGAGTTCGATGGCGCGTTCACACCTCCCTAAACGAACCGGACTTTCAAGGAAAATGAGCTAGAGTTCGATTAAAGCGGACTAAACAGGGCTAGTGTGAATGCACCCTGAAACTCCTCAAACAGAGTATCAGTCTAAATGTTCATACAACTGATTTTCATCTATTTTCTCAAGATTGTTTTTAGATAAATGAGAGATTAAATATTCAGTTCAATTTAGTTTATTTATCTAGAGCCAAGTCACAACAGGAGTCGTGTCAGAGCACTGAACAGAAATATAGATCAATAACTGGCCAGAGCACCTGGCAGACATGTTGATGGTTTGTATGAAGCTGTTACTTTTTGATAACACAAAGAGCTCAACAGGACACATGCAGATTTGTTTCTAGTAGGGCTGGGCCATATAATATCATTCACGATAATACCAGTAAAAAAAGCTTGCCCGGGAAAATAAAAGATATCATGATATGCTAATTTCATGACTTAAGTACGTCAGTGTTTCCCCTACAAGCGCCCCGCCTCGTTAACAGAACCGAGTGCGCCGAATAACCCAACCAAAATGCACCCCCTACCCCCACCTGTCGGTACTGGTGTAATGCTAATTAGTTGCGTGCAATACTAGCTAGCTAAAAAGCTAAAAATAATTAACGTGCATCTCAGCTGTCTCTCCACCCAGCTCTAAACTGCAGGTACAGACAACTCATCTGCCTCTCCCTCCCCCCACCCCGCTTTGCTGCCGGTGCGGGTGCAGCTCGGCTGCGTCTCCTCCTGCGCTAAACTGACGGTACAAACACGTGCAGCTCAGGTGTGTCTCTTAGTTCCACAGTCCATGGACAAAGAATAGAGTCAGGTGATGAAAGACAGAGCAACACAGAAATGAATCATTCCTGCAGGAACAGAAGAAGCTGAAACACCACAAGCTTCAGGGTCAGATGATCACCTTCTTACAAGTTGTGGAAGTTATAGCTCATTTAAAGGCAACATATATTTGTTGTTTGTTACATTTATGCTTAACAGATCTTAAACTTCATTTTATTTAGTTATTTTGGGAAACTTCACCTGCACTTTAGTTTTTGTGGTGGGTTTATTGATCTATATTTTGTGCAGACTTTTTCAATCTAAATAACAAGGATCATTTTTATTTTTTATTTTTGTACTTTAGGACTGAATACTTTACTAAATAAAGTAATTTCAGTTAAATTAACCTTTGTTTTATTTTTTATATTATACTGCAAAGCAACATGTTAAGTTAATTTTGTCAAATCAATACCTATGATTTCTGTTTGTTTTTTTGTTTGTTTATCATTAAATTTATTGTTATTGTCAGAATGCCCTGAAATATCACAATATTATATTTGAGTCATGTCGCCCACCCCTAGTTTCTAGTGGCCTTTCTCTTTGAAAGATCTGTAGAGTTGGAATCATCCTACCAACTAGCAGTCCACTGAGTATATCAGAGCTCTCAGCTGTGGACAGATTCAAACAAGACTCTGTTGTCCTTGTTTGCTCAGGCTGTCAGTAAATACCCACCCTGGTGAGGTGTCCAGTCCTCAATAAGTTCAGACTCCTCCAGACAGGACTCTCCTAATGCAACATAACAGAACCTGTTCCTGTAGTGCACTGCAGCCAGGATTCAGGTCAAAGTGATGTTCAGAGCTCTGACCTGAACAGTCAAGGCCCTGAATACTCATCTGAAGTGCAGAAATCAGCTGTTGTTTTAGTTGTGTGACGAAAATCACATCATTTAGTTCTCAGAGTAGCTTCTTGACAAAGGCCCAGGCCAAACTTTTTCTCACAGGCGTATGTGCCAAGGATTGCATGAATAGTCAGATTTGTCAGAAGTTTAAGGGTGTGTTTGGAGATATGCTTAGACCTTCAACTGACTCTTCAAACACACTAAATTAGTCAATTGGACAAAAACTCCTGGATGGAGATGGTGCAAACATCGTGTATGGAGGAGTCTGTCTGCTGAAAAATGTGGCGCTCTCTTCAGGATAGATTTGTGGCCAGACGGCAGATGCAGGGACGGAGTGGAGACTCTCACAGGAAGAAACCCTGCGGTGACATAGACTAGGAGGAGTTTCTTCCAGGAGCTCTGTGTCTCATGGACTATGAAGTGTGTGTGAAAACCAACATCCTGCGACCACGTAACCACGAGTCGACTGTTCAGCCCGGCCCTTTATCTTGTAGTGAACCAGATGACCTGATGATCTGACCCTCATCTGACCCTGA